GGCTGTGGGGCGGGCAGGGTGCCCTGTGGGGTGCTGTGCCGTGGGGCAGCACCCTGTGCCGTGGGGTGGCAACTTGTGCCACGGGGAAGGATGGTGCTGTGCTGTGGGGTGGTAACCTGTGCCATGGGGTGATACCCCACAGGGTGCTATGCCATGGGGTGGCACCCTGTGCTATGGGGCAGCATCCTGTGGGGTGCTATGCCATGGGGCAGGATTGTGCTGTGCTGTGGGGCTGCACCCTGTGGGGTGCTATGCCATAGGGTGACACCCTGTGGGGTGCTGTGCCATGGAGCAGCACCCTGTGGGGTGCTGTGCCGTGGGGCAGGATGGTGCTGTGCCGTGGGGTGGCGCCCTGTGGGGTGCTGTGCCATAGGGTGGCACCTTGTGCCATGGGGCAAGATGGTGCTGCGCCATGGGGTGACACCATGCCATGGGGCAGGATGGTTCTGTGCCATGGGGTGGCACCCTGTGCCATGGGGCAAGATGGTGCTGTGCCATGGGGCAGCACCCAGTGGGGTGCCATGCCATGGGGCAGGGTGGTTCCCTGCAGGATGCTGTGCTATGGGGCCAGATGTGCAGTCTGTGGGGCAAGAAGTGCAGTCTGTGGGGCGCTGTGCTGTGGGGCAGGGCGGTACCCTGCAGGATGCTGTGCTGTGGGGCCAGATGTGCAGTCTGTGGGGCGGGGTGGTACCCTGCAGAGCACTGAGCTATGGGGCGTGGTAGCATCCTGTGGCCCGATGCGCCGTGGGGCAGGATGCACGCCCTACAGTGCCGTGGGGCAGGGGTCTGAGTGCTATGGGGCAAAGCCCCACTCCACGGGGGCTTAGCCACCCCCTTTCCCTAAAAGAACCACGCTATGGGGCAGAACCACGCACCATGGGGCTGGGCGGTGCCGTGGGGCAGCGGGAGAGCAGCTCTCCCCACAGGCAGGAAACATAAGGGGCGGTGCCGTAGGGCAGCGGGAGAGCAGCTCTCCCCACAGGCAGGAAACACGAGGGGGGCCCACGGGTGGGACACACGGGTCTGCACCCCCATCCCCCTCCCCACACCAGCCTCCCAACCCGCGCTGTGGGGCAGACGTGCCTCAGTTTCCCCCCCATGGGCACCGCCCCGATGCTTCCTGTGGAGCCGGGGTTCTTCCGCATCCCTTGGGGGGCACGGTGTCCCCCCCATCACCTCCCCCCCACGACCCACGGCCCCGCTGCCGGGGGGGTGATGTTGGGGTGGGGGGCTCTGCTGTGGAAGCACCAGGACCCACCCACCCCCCAGGGTGTCCCCC